AGACCTATCCTAGTACTCGATTGCGGCATAAAACCTCTTGTTAGTAACATCGGTAAGTGCAGCAGCAACAACAACACTTACAATACTGTACTTTAGTGGTCACCAAATATCCTCTCACTGACTTTCAATCACTCATCTCATTATTTTAAACATAGTTAGCATTATGAGCAATAACAAATCATATTATTAAACAGTGATAAATAACAGAAAAAATATTGTTTCCAGTGGCTTATAAATGGTGAAAATATTTATAGCAAGTAAAAAAAACTAAGTTCTTACAACTGTTGATAGATTCTGCTTGAAGAACGGAACTACAAAAAAGTCTTAGTTTAATAGTGAGATTAGCCATCCATATCACGTACGGAAAGATGACAACAGCAACAACGGAATAACCTCCCCTTAACTCAAACATCAACTATCAAAAAGCTTCAACAGAAACTTTTAAAAACTTGATTTATCATACAAAAAAAAAACAAAACTACAAGGGTTAGGCAGACATTTCGAACGACAGAATCAAGATTTCTTCCATTTCTTTATTTTTCCTTTGGCTTTTCATTTTTGGCAGTTCTCTCTTCTGCTTTTTCACTTTTCTTTCCTTTCTTTCTGAGATATAAATAGTTTTAATTGATGTGACCTCCTTTTCCCACTTTTTTCACCATCGCTACAATATCCAACAAAAAAATTTTAAAGTTTAGAGAGTTTTGTTTCACAGTGTTTTTTTTCGCTTCCTTTATTCGTTGCAACTGCCCACTATTATACACAACAAATCTGTGTTGAAAATTTGTTTTTTAATGCAGCAAATAAGGAGGCAAACAAATTAGAATTAAATTAAAAGTGACAAAAGTTTTTTTAAAAATTGAAAAGGGATTCCAAAAAAGCGAGGAAAAATGCTCTTACTTGAACCCAAAAAAATTTTTCAAGATAAGAAAGCAGCAAAACTTACCTATAAAAGCTCGACAAATTCATCACACCCAAAAAAAAAGGGTCGAAAGCTTTACAAGTCCGATGTTCCCTGCCTTTTCGATACAGAATTAAACTGGTTTACAGAGTTAGTTGCTTGTACGTACATTTCTTTTTGTATCCGAGTTCCCTTTTTTTTCAAGATTTTCAGTGCCTCTTCACGGGAGCATAGAGACATATCAAAGCAGTGGCTATGTACCAGATACTCCTCCCTCCCTTTGCCTTCTCTCATTAACATATAATGGGTGCAGGGACTCAAAAGATGAACTGATGCGTGGAATGTTACTGCTCCATGATGAAAGCTTTTAGGACTTAAGTGACGACTAAAGAAGCTAGCAATACCGATGTGTACAACAAAAATAACGCAGAAATAATGCCCCTCATCGTTCTCAAAATTAAGAACTGTTGCCTTGCGTACTGAGGGTAGCACAAAGCTCAACAACGTTAAAAATGAACCCTTTAATCGCAGTGAATTGCTGACAAATGCAGGACATTTCAACTGTTCTTATCAGATTAATGGGATAACCACAAACTCATTTAAGAGCGCTAACATATACCTACTAGTCTAAATTTTCAATTAAGCTCGAATTCACGAAGTACC